CCCGCCGCGCCCCCGCACCAGGCCTCCGCGGAGCCCCAGCAGCTCCCGCCACTCGGTTCAAATGTCTCACTGTGTTTTTTTAACCACTCCTTTGGGCACTGTTCTCTTACTGTAAGCATCTCATCGGTTCCACCCTGGTCAAAATTCATTTCTAGTCTCTGTAACCAAAGTTGTTCTGACCTTTTATCGTCTCATAAATTACTATTTATTATTTTCCTCAATACTTATTGCTCCAGCCTTCCTAATTACTGGGCACTTGTCTCCTCTTCCTCTTTCGATGGATATGCCTCTAAAAGTTGTTTCTAGCCACATTTCATCGCTAATGATGAGTCCAGTCTTCAAGTTTATTCCCCCCCCCCCAGACTCCCAATTTTAAATTTCTACCAGAAAATACAGACCCATATAATAATGTGATTATTTATAGTTTACATGTCTAATGTAAAGAATCAAAAGCTCCCCAAAGCGGAGATGGTTGTACAATATTGTGAATGTAATTAATACGACTGAGCTGCATATTTAAAAATGGCTAAATTGTAAATTTTATATGAAGTATATTTTATCACAATAAAAAAAATACAAAGAAAAAGTTCCCTAAGGTTTTTTATGTTACAACAAAAGAGAAGTGTCTAGATTTTTATATTACATAACTGCCCCAGTTTCTAGTGCTAATGTGTATTTTTCCCCTGTCCTATAGGCTGTACTGGTATACCTCTCCTCCTCCATTTCCATTCCCAATGAGATATACCTTACAAATGTAATTAATCACTTAATGGCCCCAACTCCAAACTCAATCCAAGATCAAGAATGAAAAGTTGATATAGATAATAATTGACAGGTCCAGTAATTCATTTATTTATTTTTTAAATATATTTTTATTGATTTCAGAGAGGAAGGGAGAGGGATAGAAATATAGAAACATCAATGATGAGAGAGAATCATTGTTCGGCTGCCTCCTGCTTGCCCCCTACTGGGGATCAAGCCTGAAACCCAGGCATGTGCCAAACCGCTTAGGGTTCCTTCATTTTCTTGATCAAGTCCCTCGATCCTGTCTACCTTAATTTCAACCAAACCATCCATCATCATTTTTGTCACCAGATTTAAATGCCATGCCCGATTTATGAAGTTTCTGAAATTCCAAATCTTTCTTATCACCAACCTCATCTCCAGTGACAAAACCTTCCATATTCCCTGGGAAACGATGCTTTTTAATCTTTTTCTTTGGCGCTGAAGCACCCAATGTGTTCTTTATTTGCGCTATGTCATTCTTTATTTCTGCTTTCATAGTTATATATTTTCTCATTCTGTTGAGCATCTTTAACATCATTATTCTGAATTCTATTTCAGATACATTTCTTTTTTTTTTTTAATATATTTTATTGATTTTTTACAGAGAGGAAGGGAGAGGGACAGAGAGTCAGAAACATGGATGAGAGAGAAACATCGATCAGCTGCCTCCTGCACACCCCCTACTGGGGATGTGCCCGCAACCAAGGTACATGCCCCTGACCGGAATCGAACCTGGGACCCCTCAGTCCGCAGGCCGACGCTCTATCCACTGAGCCAAACTGGTCAGGGCCAGATACATTTCTTATCTCCATTTCATTTATCTCTTCTTCTGGTGAATTCTCTCATTCTTTCATTTGTGGGTTGTTTCTTTGTCTTCTCACTTTGCTGCCTGTTTGGGTTTGTGAATATGTATGAGGTAGATCTGCTATGCCTCTCAATCTCGAGTGCAGGACAGTGTCAAATGCTGTCTCTGCCTAGAGGCTAATTGTTGTTCTCCGTCTCCGAAGGGGCAAGGTGTTTTCCACTAGAGTGGGTCAACTATCTTCCCCCAAGAAAATGTCCCCTGTACAGCAAATGTCTGCAGGAGAAAGATGATCTCTGCAGCCTGAGGGAATGGCTCAGCACAGGAAACCCTCGTGTCTGCCTTCTGAGCTCCCACCCCAGAGGCCCTGATCCTGGCTTCTGCTCACACAGCTCCGGTCCACTCTGCCCTCCCTCTGCTGGAGCACAAGGTGGGTGGCTCCACAGGCAATTTTGTGCATTGGCCCTTTAAGAGGGTGCCCGAACTTTCAGCCTTCTCTCCTTGGCAGACAGCAACCCCCTGCTTTTTACAGCCAGATGTTGTGTGGGTGCCCTTCTCAGTTCTGATGCTCTCTGCTGGGGCGGGGGGGTCCAGCTTGGGGGTTAGCCCCCAGGGTTCTCAGTGGCAACCCCACAGCGGAGAACTCTCTCCGGCACTTCAGTGTCTGTCTGTGGGAGCCCAGCCAGCCCTTTCTCGCCTCCACCCCTCCTTCCAGTCTGTATGTGTTCTCCACTTTCCGTCCTCAGTTATCACGGTTCTCTCCAGAGAGTCTTCCGTTGATTATTCTGAAAGTTTTTTTGTATTTCAGCTATAAGTTCAGTTTGATCCTGGGAGCATGTCCGTGTGGCCATTTTTAATCTCTCACTAACCTCATAGTTTTAAATACTATCTATATGTTGATGACTCCCAATTTCCAGCCCTTCCCACCCACTTCCCAACTGTATTTATTCATGTTTTCAATATCTCCATGTGCATATCTAAATGGCATCTTTTATATCCAAAACTCAATTTCTCATCTTCATTTGCAAACATGCTGCTCCAACGGCCTTTTATTTTATTTTATTTTATTTTATTTTATTTTATTTCAGAGAGGAAGGCAGAGGGAGAAAGAGATAGAAACATCAATGATGAGAGAGAATCATTGATCGGTCGCCTCCTGCATGCCCCCCACTGGGGATGGAGCCTGCAACCCAGTCATGTGCCCTTGATTGGAATCGAACCAGTGACCGTTCTGTCCACAGGCCAACACTCTATCCACTGAGGCAAATTGGCTAGAGCAACGATAGCCTTTTTTTCTTTCTTTCTTTTCTTTCTTTCTTTCTTTCTTTCTTTCTTTCTTTCTT